AAGTACACAACAAACATATTATTGTAAGTAAACATATATTAGTTGAATTGAGGTTAGTGCACTTTCTACAAAATTAAACTCAATTCCATGTAAAATGGCCCACGACTGGGTCTCATTTTCATTTTGATTCAACTTGATTTGCAATATACATATCTACGTACATATAATATTATATATCTGTGATGTAAGTAAACGTTTATTGGTGGATTGTTTTTTGAATATCAATCTTTGCTTGCTAAAACCAACAAGAACAAAAACAAAGCAGAGCATTTTCACTTTCTCTCTCTAAAACTGGGTTTCAGACTTTTGTTTATGGGAGTTTCATTTCGGCATTATACAAAGGGTGGCTCTGCCAAATCCACGCCTGGAATTGTTTCTTTATTTAGGAATTGTTTCTTTATTTGAAGCTTTATATATTTTTATGTTGCTTCGGCAATCATCCCGCCTGTTAGCATGATCAGCAAATTCCCAATGCCATGCCGAATGTCACCCCGGTTCTTTACGTCATCAGCACGACAAAAAGAGGTTGCCAATCGTAGGTTTCGGCACGTCAAAATCCAAGACAAGTTGCCGGCAAGCGTCTGTATTGTTTTCGGGGCAATAATCGTCATCACCTACCTTCCTGTAGGGCACTCCGGTGGGTACAATCAATTCGGCAGCCATACATATATAGCTATATTGTTTATATCAAGTTGTGCACTTCGTTAACAATTTTGCATGAAAGGCTCCCTTGGCAACGATGCTCAATTTATGATTCCATACATCTCGGCAACAAAAAGCTTGCTCAGCAACATACAACGTGATATAAGTTTGCATGGTTTCACGGCACTCGACCAATTGGAAAGACATGTACAAATTCCACAGCCGAAAATTATCACTTAAGCATGGCCGACTCGCCCCAACTTTAGCTCGGCAACACTGTAGTCATCCTTGTGGTGACACGGTCATCCGCATAAAACGGGTTAAGAACAACATATATGTCTAATTCAAGAATCACCAATTGGGTCTTGCTCCTCTAAGAAAGGTTCTTGGCATGTAACAAGACGTGTGATTGGCAACTGATTTTTAATGCAAGCCAATTGCAGGCTGAGTTCCAAGCAATTATGCACCGAAAATATAAGCCCATTGTGGCGAATTGATCGGCAACCATTCACTCGCCGAGTTTCAATCCGATCAAGAGTTATTACATTGGCATTTCTCGGCCACTATTTTAAGCAGTTTGGAAACCTGCTTTACTCAGCGTCGCCATTGGCCTATCAACTATTCCTCTGCCTCCATAATTCGGTGATGCCACTCCAATTAAATCATTCGGCAATAGCAAATAGCCGACCGACCACGTTGCCAAAATAAAGTCAAAGACCAAAATATTGCTAGGAATTTGTGTTGCTAGGAATTTTATTAAGCCGCCACCGCACATTCATATGCTCTCCCTCTTTCTACTTGTATAAATTTTTGCAGGTATAAAGAAATATTATTCGGCAAAGCTAAGAGGAATTACTGCTCAAGTTTTCGGCAAACCCAAATAATATACGTTGCTAGTGTTTTAGTAAGCCGACACCAAAGTGAAGAATGCCGACTAAATGTTCCGAGACATCCCAAATGTACCAGCCCAGCTCGGCAACTTACTCGGCAAGAATTCGGAAGCATTACTCCGCAACATTGCTTATTTGGCAACATTGCTTATCAAACTTCGTAAATTCGGCAAATCATTCAGCTCCAAAATCTCGGCACTACTATCTCGGCATAAAACTAGCATCTCGGCTTGCCGAAATCCACATCTAACAATACCAGAGGATTCGCGTCGACTTAAGGAGTCAAAAGCCACTAACCAGAGAAGCAAAAAATTGATCGACACACTACAAGAAAAATTCATTGTCACGGCGCTTAGAAAAAGACATTTTTTGAAAAACGTCTTCATTTCTCATTTTCCAAGACGCGTGCCTTCGCTGATGCTTAACCTTGCCAATTAATTAATGAGTTAAAAAAAGAAAAAGAAACAAACCTCTGCCACTCAAACCTAATAGAATATAACTTTTATTTCCAAGCATCAAAGTCACAGATTCATTACCCTTTCCCCTCTCTCTTTCTCCTTCTCCAACATTATTCTCTCTCTAAAATGGCACGAATGAAGCTCTCTTTGTAGATATTGACGAAGCAACTGATGATGAAGATTTCAAGTAAGTCTATTGTAGATCAAAACCATAGATCTTTTATCTCAATCGTTTTTCATTATTTTTTTTATTTTGAAATCTTGTTTTGTGCACTCGATTTGACTAATTTTTTTCGAGATTATTTGATCCCTCTTCGATTTTGTTCGATCTCCCTTGATTTGACCAATTTTCTTCAAGATTATTTGATCTCCCTTGATTTTCATTTATCTAGGGTTTCGTTCTACACGGCGCTGAAAAAATGCAGTGGATCTTTTTGAAAGGGCTTTTCAATCTGTACTTGCTGTGTTCACTCGAGATTTAGAGATTTTCATGACTGCACAGTAGCAATCTAGATCTGTTTTGATTTACATTCTATCAGTTTGGTTTCATTCGATTGACTGAAACGGTTGCTTAGGATTTCGATTTCCATTGTTGATCTAGGTGCTCTTCTCTTTTATTGGTCTGACTCAAGCTTGTTTTGGATGATTTTGATTTCGATCTATGTTTTTGTTTTTCTTAGGTATCGGATCTATAGCTCTTTTATCTGTTTTAGTTCTCTCAGGTAGTCAGCTTCAATGGTTTTGATCTGTAACTGTATTTTATTTAAATAGTTTTATTGTTTGTTATACAAATAGGTAGCTTAGAAGATTTATATATTTTCTCTCACTCTCTGTGTTTCCTCTTTAAGGTTTTTATTTGCTAAAAGATGATTGAGCCTTTTGGGATGAAATATGTTTTAAAGTTGATATTAAATAAATTAAGTTATCATTTTCACCAAATAAGGGTCAAATGGAGGGGTTTTGGCCAAATTTCCCTTATAATTATATGTTTGTGTATGTGTAAGCAAAATAAAAGTAAAGAAGAACCTGTGTACAAATCTGAATGCTCATTTTTTAAATACGCCCAGCCTGAAAAGGCCTCTACTCTACTTGTTTAGGCCCATGGATAGAAAGGATATGCATGTAAGTGTTGTGCTCTCATTCGATGGACTCGTTGCATTTTATTTTATTTTTTTTGTATATTGTTATGTATTTACATGTTTGATGTATATTAGTGGGATGCATCAAATGGCTTTTCCTTAATTCTACTTACAGGGTGGTTCCCAAATCTCATCTAACTTCTTACCTTATTCCCAATCTTGGAAGTGAGGGAGAATGAAGTAGTATCCTACCAGAGAGATTTAAAGAGCCTCAGAAAAATGGAGGTTAGTTAAAAGTCACTTGGAAGATTTAACATGTGCCAGTATTATTGCCAAGGCCAAACTGAGAAAACAATATTAGGGATTTGTTATTTTGTGTTTCTTAACTTTCTTGTTACATATTTCCTGTCTAGATAAAGAATGCATGTAATCAAGATTTGGGAACTTCCTAAAAATGCTAGCTTTTTGACTTTTTAATTTTTTTACACAAAAAAGCCAAAAAGTTAGTTTTTTTTACTAACTTCTCATAGCACCACATAAATTTTTGCTTCATGGTACCATAACCACTGTTTTACGGATCTCTGCAACTCTTCTACTACAAGGGACCATATCAATTCTTACAGATTTGTTTCACAGTACTAACTCTGCATCCAACTTCCAAGACAAACGCTATTATTTATTTATTTATTTTACTTTCTTTTTAACAATCATTTACTGTCTTGTGTTAATATTCAAGATTTTTTGAATGAGTTATCTTGACAATTTGCTCCATTGCATTTATGTTGAAAAATAATCAACTTACCATAACTTTCTTGCAACCTGGTTCAATATGTCACATTCTTTTACACTTCTAACAAATTGAAATAACTAAATATCATAATCTATATCAATGCTACTAACAAAAGATTCAATAAGAGAAAAGATATACTTTACGCTTAGACCTTTTTCATATATTTGTGAAAAATTTAATCCCTCAATCTAATTATATAAATGTTCTAATTTTAAACATTTATTGATTTAATTTTGAACTTCAACATTTTCTCACAATTAAACTTCCTTTTTAAAATATATTAATACCAACATTAGTATTATTAATATGAAACATGTGCAACACTTCATCATTTACAGACTTTGAAAGTGTCAAGATGGAATTGATCAAAAATACTTTTTGTTGTGTTTGGATCTTGGATTGTGGAAGGGATTTGTGAAGGGAAAGGAAAAGTGAAGGGTTTCTTTTCGCAAATTTCTATCCGAATTCATGATTCAAACATAGCCTATAATAATCTATTAAGTGTAATACAATGGAGTATTGAATATGATTTTTAAAATATAACTAATACAAGATTCCAATATTTAACTCTTTAATTATTCTAATGGAGAAGATGTGGAGGGGAAGACCTAAGCTGACATGGGATGCGGTAGTTAAAAAAGATATTAATTTATTTAATTTAACCGAGCATATAGCCCTAGGTAGAGTAGAATGGCAAAAAATGATTCATGTAGCTGATCTTACTTGATTGGGACACAAGGCTTAGTTTGATGTGATTTGCTATATGTAATCCATGTCTCTCTTTGTGTACAAACACACCCAAATACATATACACGTGCCTATTGGGGTTCTTCATAAATTAGAGCTCATTTTACTAGATTGTGTAGCTATTGAAACAATTATATTCTATTTTTTACAGATGAAATGGATGTGGAAAAAAAAATTGTTTAGAGAATAAGAAGGGGACAATTCAACTTTTAGTTCATGTTAATTTCGTTAGGAGAAAATATTTAAAGTTTGAGGTTATTTTTCTTGCATTGTAAGTTCATTGATTTTAGAGTGTTCTTTAATGTGAAGAATGCTTAATTTAGGTGTCACACGATCTTTAGTGCCATTTGGAGTGCATCATACTTACCCGTCCCACTATTCTAAATCTAATCATAGCTTTGTTTCAGTTTCTCTATGCCCTAACCTTGCCTGTTGGAAAACTAGTCGTCAACTACGTTGAGCAGAACCACAAGGTGAGTAGTAAGTAACATTTACGTTGAGCAGAACCACAAGGTGAGTAGTAAGTAACATTTTAAGCTTCAATTTTACTGTAGAATTACAGATTGGATGGTTATGAGCCCTAGTTGTTACTCTTTTTATAGCTGAATTGGATTAGTTCTCTATTTTGGTGTTGAGACTTCATTCTTATAGGACAAAATGAAGATCTTTATGGCAAAGTATTACTGTGTGAGATTGCATGCTTTATTCGGTGCTGCTTTGGCAGCTGGACTGGTAGTAGCCAGAACCATCGCTGGAAAATATGTTGACATGACGGTTTTTCTCTGATTTTCCACTCCATAGATTTCAAAATCTGCCTGGTGAGCATACATTTTTGAATCCTTGCTATTATGAGTATTCTGTGAAAGCAATTTTGGCTATACATCAAACACACATGTGCATGATTGACAGTACACTAAAAGTGAATTTTTCAGCAGTGTGCATACCACCTTAGCTAGGTTGTTACTTTTTTAGTGTTAATAACTAACAATTAATCATGGTGCTTAAAATTAATAAAAAGAGAGAGGGCATAGTGATCATTCAAGCACACATTGGTCCTACTGCATTGCATTTAATATCAAAGGCTTATTCAAGAACCTAATTAAAGTCGTCATTCTATTTTTAAAATTCTTGTCCCTCTGTTCTCAACATAGTCTTAGGCACACACGTGATATGAATTTTTTTTAAAAATATGAGGATCTTAAGATACAATTGTACGATTGACAGTACACTAAAAATGAAATGACAAAGATTTTACGACAGATGGTGCTGTGCCCACTACTTAAAGTTTCTAGCTACAAGGCAAAGGTTCTTGTCAAAGTTTGTTGTAGGAATTTTGGTCCCTTTGTTCTCATTGCACTTTTAGATGCACATTATAGTGAAAATTTCAAAGTACGAGAATCTCAAGATATAATTATACAACTAAGAGTATATTAGAACAAAGGTGATGGAAATTTTAGGACAGATGATCATAAGTTGTGCCCATTAATCGTAGCTACAAGCTACATGGCATTTTTTACTCATGCAAGTTTATTGTAGGAATATCTAATAGAGGGATCCTTTATTCCAAAATTTCTATCTCTCTGTTCCCAATATACATTTAGCTGCATGATATGTAGTGAGAATCTTGAAACACAAAAGTAGGCACCGTTATACATAATTGATAGTGCATCAGGAGCAAAAAGAAACTGATTTTGAGATGGAGAATTCTCATACCTATTAATTATAGTTTCTAGCTACAAGGCAAAGTGCATTTTTCGTGTGCATTGTTAAACCAGGTATAACCTCAGTGTCTATGTCCTCTTTCTACTTCCCAACAGGCAATTCTTTGTCAAATGAATAGAGAAGATTAGCTAGTGCAAGCTCCACTGTCACAACACCCAGGTATAACCTCAGTGTTAATGATGTTATGGTATGTGATACTACTTTATCTATGGACTTTTAATATGATTTATATTTATATTGGAGGCTAATTATTGAATTCAAACTTGCAGACTCAAATGAATGAGTTAATGGAGCACATGGAGGGATCTTCTATTTATACTTTGCCACTAAAGAATTTGTTTTGCTCACTCTACTTTTATCATGGATCATGCAGATGAAGTGAATCAATCCATCATCATATGGTTAGTTGAACTGTCTTATGGATTTGTTGAACTGTTTTATGGGAAACTCTGGATTTTAAACTATTAACTCAAGGGGTTTTAAGTTTATCTGGCACCATGATTGAGAGTATTTAAAAATGTAAAATAAAAGCTGTATGGCACCACTAGGGTGATAGGGCCATAAATCGATGGGAAGAATGGAGCTGGGAATATTTATATTCCTTGAGTTTGTTTAGGTTGGAGATATTCTTGTCGTTGCTGAAATTGACAATAAAGTGTCAATATTTTGGGAGAGAGATGGGTACTAATGTTTAGCTTGCTTAATTTTGCAAAAGCCTATGTTTGTTTCAATGTGACACTTCTATGGAAGAGCTTTGCCAATAAGTAACTGGATTTGAAGTCTAGAGAATAATTTTAGGTGTTTGAGAAGTTCATTGAATAAACCTACGAGGTAATCCCCAAGTCTAATTTGAGATATTTTTCTAGGTGAATGGAGCATAAGTTTGGAGGCTGTTCCAGCAAAGAACTAGTTCTTTGAAACTTGAGTATGTCCTGATTGGGAGGTTGGGCAGATATGTAAAGGAGTATAGCAATCGTGTGCATGAACATAGAGCATAAGTATTCTAGTAGAGTTGGTTTACAATTGTTATATTCTTTATTCTGTTGCACCTGGGGAGCTTGTTAATTCACAATAAATAGTTCTTTATATGTTGACAATAGTTTGAAAATTGAAACAAAACAGTGTCACTGAGGATAAAAATTCTCTTGACAATGGCTTCTTTATATTCAAATTAAAAATGAAGCAGTTATGGGGAAAATCCTTGAAATTGGGCCATTTTATTTTGGAAGTAGACTAATTTTAGTGAGAAGATGGCAGTTGTACATGCATTTGACTAAGAGTGAATTCTCTTTTGTGCACATTCCAATGAAATAATGAAATTTCTTACTGTTTTTTCAATTGTGATGTCTAATATGTTATAGTAAGGTCTTAAATTTGAAGGAGTGGGTATTTTAAGATTATGGGTGTTGACCTGTAGGTAATATATCCTTACATATTTGCCACACTAGCATGAGCTTTGCTTTGACAAATATGACGATGATTTGACTCAGAAATTGTTTGAATTTTATTTTGTGTCAACATTAATTAGAGAATTGTGTCAAGATGCGAAGCTACTGCCTTGCAGCGTCAATTTCAAGCTATGAAGTTATTGCCTTCTAATGCTAATGATTTCATTATTATTAATCATTGATTATGTCTATTAAGAAAAAAACTTTAACCATGAGAATCTCTTGGTTGAGAATTTTTATTTTTAAAATTTTTCTTTGTGCTATTATATTGCATTGCTCAAATGCTTTAATCTTGTGGTGATTTGATTATGAATCAGGAAATATATGATGCCCATTGAGTCCATACCTTTCCATCAAATCATCTGCTTTAAGAATGTCGACAAACTTCAAGCAGTAAGTATTTTTGTAATACTGAAACTAAGAAATAGAAATCAAATGGAAAATGTTCATTGACTACTTATTGTTGTTAAGATAGTGCAAAATTTTGGTAACTACACAAGTCATTTAAGAAGCTACATATGAGTTGATAGGTTTTATTGATTTCTATATTATATTTTGATATAATGTGTAAGTAGTTTTATTGTAACGGTGATGGTGGTGGTGTAACCAGACTGTCTTGTCTTCCTCTTCATATCTTTTTGTCCTTTGGGTTAATTTTTATTTCTTTATTTATTTTTTAACGGGAAAAATTTCATTGATAGTTTTATTGTAAGCAGGGGGAACTAAAGTTTGTTGGAAGCCTTCAACCTGCTTCCCAGTGCTGTAAAGAGTACATGATTGGTCTTGCATGTGTTGTATAGCATGCAGTTGATCTCCCCCCCCCCTCCGGCGCCCATCTTTTTATGCTAGACAAATTCATCCATCCAATTTAAATATCTTGATTTTTTTTTTTGAAAATTTTATCTTAAGAACTATTGATGATCTGTTACTAAACCTAAAATTGATTGGACTTCACAATTTGGTAGGGTTGCTGATTTCGTGGTGGCAAATTCCGATCCTTTCATACCTATGTAAGGAAGTTGTCAACAACCCTTTTCTTGGAGTTCAGTACAACATTGTAATTTAACATTTTTCTCTTTCTCGTAGAAGTCAAAAGACTCGTAGGTCTTGTCATTTTTGGAAGTGGCTAAGGTATCTTCTTGTACTTTGCTTATTTGTTCTGTATAGATGGAGTTTTCATATTTTACTTCATATTTTGCTACGAGCACTTGCTGTCGTGAATAAGGATAAATTTACTGCAACACTATGAATAGAGCAAGAAGCAAAAAAGTTACTCTTAATGTCAAAACAGAACTCATAGAGTAATGATGTCTTCTAGTGACAAACTTGATATGATTTGCAAATTGATTTTGTTTTTCTTTCTTTCTTTCTTGTAAATAATGCAATATAGATGGTACTTGCTATTTATAGATGGTGCTTGCTATTATATTAATCTTTAATAAAATCTTTGCTTTGTAATCTTTTCTTTAAGTGGCCATTTAAGATGTGAGAACTACTGAGCAAAACAAAAGAAATCTGAATTTTGAATCCTATGTATGATGTTGCATTGCTTATTGAAACTCTAGGAAAATAAAATTCATGGAAGCAAACTGAACTAGTTGGCTTTGTCTAATTACTCTTACCTCAACTTGAATTTTTATTCCTGAAACTAGCTTCTCTTTGGATAACACAACAGCACATCATGACTTTTAATTCTTAGTTTTAAATTTTTATCTTTGGGACATCACATCTTGCACCTGCAGTGGGCTTATCTGTTTGTCAATCTTCAATTGCTCATGAAATTTCTGAACTTATTAAGAGACCTAAGCTTGAGGCACGAATTTGTTATGACCCAGAAGATTTTTGGCTGGATTTAGAAAGGTTTTACACTTGAGCATCTTGGTTATCTGGTAAGTAATAGATTGTGTTGATTTCACCTTTCACATATAATTCTGATGTAACTTTTATTCCCTGCAGCATTCCATTTTCTGAATCTGATCTGCGCAAGGCCTCTGAATCATTGAAAAGAGTTGCAGCATCGGTTTTGGCGGCTTATGACTGAATTGAAGAGTGCATATCAGATTTCATTTTATTTTTCTAATGATATTTTAGACATTTCTTTGATTGCATCAACAGAAAAACTCGGGAATTTTTGTTTCTTGGTAGATGCTTTCATAGTATTTGTATGTATAATTAGTTTGAATTGCATCTTTTGTGCCGATTTGTTTTGTAATAACTTTCAACTTACAACTAGGCACTAGTTTAGCTTTAGGCACTAGTTTAACTTTATTTCGTCTTGGAATTGAAATATTTTTGCATATTGAAAAGCATGAATTGATCGGTATTGTGTTACCTAAATTTAGTAAATATATTGAATATTTTTCATCTTTATTATAGGTTTTTTTTTTTTTTTTTTTTTATATTTTTCATCTTTATTATATTTTTTTTTTTTTGGGGTTAAATCTCACAAAATTAGCACAATTTAAAAAAAAAAAAAACAAATGAAGCTATAGTGGCGTTTTTAAATGCCAGCAGTTATATTTTTAAAATAAAAAAGATCTATCACGGCGTTTTTAAAACATCGCTAAATGTAGCATTATCATTATGTAGCCCATTTAGCGGCGTTTTATACTAATATAGCGATGCTTTTAAAGCGTCACAAAGTTACAGCGACGGTTGCATCTTCGACGTTTCGTACAAAACGTCAGAAAAATAACTAGCGGCGTTTTTGATAGATTAAGCCTAATTTCCAGCAGTGACACTTGCCGATAATTGCGCAACAGCCCATAATTTCAACGAACTGCAATTTTCAACGTTCTCAAAACCCAATTTTGACCATACCAGTGTGAAATACTCTTTAAGACGAGTCCAACGCAAAAAACGACATCGACATCGGTCTTAAAACGAAGGAGATACAAGGCCTCAAAGTCATGAGCTCAAAACTGGAACACTCTGCCTTTCACGGCATGCAGCATGAAGGTGATGAGATAAGAATTTATCATGCGCTTCTCGGCACAATGTTCTCTGTTGCATCTTACCGCATTCTAGTTAATCGGATGGTCTAGTAATTTCGAGAACGCCTACCCTCTAATTTTTTGCTGTGTAGAATCCATTTTTGAGGTCCAATTTTGTGAATTTCGAGTATTAGCTTGGGATCAATCAACTGGCAAATCGGGGACGTTAAATGATAGTTCACTGGTCAGATCGTGTCCGATCAACGTGCAACTTTAATAGCAGGCTCCTAGAGCTGGGCCATGATCATCCATCTTCACCAATCACTCACCTCAACTTGAATTTCTTTTACATTCGGCTATCACAACTACGGATATACGGAAACCAACGAACCAACTTATATCCACAATTAATTCGGTAACTTACTGACTTAATCGGCTCAATGCTTACTCGTCAACACTACTCGGCCTCAAGACTACTCGGCCGCCCATACGTCACTACATCGAACAGTCCCGCCCCATTATCTACGTTATTCGGCTCACAATGTTATATGTCAACTTATTCAGCAATAGCGTTCATCGGCATTATGAATGCTGCTTGCATATGATCAACTCGGCTTATAACTTATTCGGCAAAAATTACACCGCAACATTTCTTATTCGGCACATTCTTCGACGTTTGCAATATCGTTTTGCAACAATATGCGGCAACTTTGTGACTTATTCGGCACTAATATCTCGACATAGAACTAGCATCTCGGCTTGCCAAAATCCACATCTGAACATACCACAGGATTCGTATCGGCTTAAAGAGTCCAAACCCACTAACCCGAGAAGTCCAGAAGTAACCAAAGTATGCCGAAAATTACGATACGGCTCACATTTTCTATCAACTGAAATTGTCAAAGCTGTCAAACTCAAGTTTTGCCCACACCAACGTGAAGTACTCATTGAGACGAGTCCAACGCAACAAATTGCGTCAAAATCGGAGCTCAAACGAAGCCGTACGGGCCGCTCAAAGTTTGCCCAGAAAATGAGTTCTTTCTCTGGGGAAGACGATCCAACAAAATATAAAGAAATGATCATGTGCTTCGCGGTTGTATTACACCCTGTTGATTTGAGCCGTTAGATCCATTTTGGCTATAATTACGCCATCAGGAGTCTGATCACAGTGATCCAGTAGTCCTTTCCAGCTATCTGACGCATTCCAGGTCCATCTGCACAGTCAGAATTTGCAAATTCAACTCAAAATAAATAAATAAATAAATAAATAATTTCCGATTTTACTCAAAAATTGAGCGCAATGACTCATTTCACATATCACCAAGCACCCTACTTTGTCTCGACTTCATTCCGATTTCGCCACGGCACCGAACAGGGGCACGAAATCTGTTTCAAATTGTTATCGGCCTACTCGGCAATTTTGTCCCAAGTCAATTTTATTCCTTCCGAATAACCGATGTCATTAAAAAACAATGGGGCAAATATACATTGGACAAGAATCTCAACTTCAATAAATTGGCAACCATTGCCAACCAAGTTCTTAGCATATCGAACTTCGAAGTGATGCCGACACACAGCGAAGCTAAGAAAAATCGCCGACCAAAAGATCAGCACAATCACCAACCTGTGTAGCTGACCAACTTTTTGGCAAGATCACATTATATATGAAACGGACACCGATGTTTTGACACTAGTTACTCGGCAGTGCATCAAATTTACTCAGCAAGATTATTCGGCACCATTATTAATTCAACACTCATTATTCAGCCGTGCATCAACTTTATTTGCCTAACAACATTATTTGGTAAAACAATTGCCCACTGGGACATCTTAGTCAATTTTTCGCTTTCCAATTGGGGCACATCAGCCGATCATTATCTCGGTACCTTTGATATGCATGCATATTCGGCCAACTTGGTACAAACATTACAACGGCATTTACTTGAGTTACTCACTCCCGCTCCTTTTCACACCGTTCCAAGCAAGCACCAGTTTTGGGGCAATACATTACACTTGGCATTCAGCCGTTAGCACTTGACAGTTGGCAATTCGCATTTGACAGCAGTTCGCACGTGGTTGTGCACCGTCATTTTACCAAAGTCGAATCTTCCCTACGCATTGCATTTTTGCCTACCTTGCATCTGTTTTTGAGCTTTGTGTATAACATATAAAAGTTCTAATTTTTAGTGCTCTAAATAGTTTGTTTAGGGTGTTTTAAGCTTTGGGGTTGTTTGACCCCTCTTAAGGCTTGTTTGGCCCTCGTTTTATGCCATTTCGGTTGAGCTCCGGGACCATTGTGTTTGGGCCTCCTCACCACTGAAATCTTGAGGGATTTCAGAGGTGAGGATGGTGCCTTAAGGTCCTAGGAAGGAGAGGGTACCCTCTCCTTGTTGTCCTTGAAAAGGGCCATTTTTGTCTCTTTAGTGAGCATCTAGTCTAAGTGTGTGCTGGCCATG